TAAGAACCTCATTCCTGTCCAAAATCAAACGATAAAACCTCCTCTGTCACATCCAAAATCTCTTCTACTTCAACCTCCTTTGCTTCGTACTCCTCTTCCTCATCACTGGCTTCGCCATCCCGCAGTTTCTGCCGGAACATCTTCTCTTCTTCGTGCAGTATCTTCCATTCATTCAACCACTTGTCCCAGTCCTCCTGCAACCTTCTACGTTTCTGGCGATCCTGCTCGCTGAGCAGCATAGAAACGTCCTGATCTTCAGCCTCGTACTTCTTGCTGTACTTCTTCAGATTCTTGGATATCTCTTCCTCTTTCTCGGGACTCAAGAAGGTTGGTGGTCTCGGGCGCCACGCAAACTGTCATGAGCCATTTGAAAATCAGAAACACTAAAGAGTTCATCACAGAAAAACCTTCTATTTGCAAGCATAGAAAAACCTTCTATACAGCACCATGATTACAAATATTGGCTCAAGTAAATAGTAAACTTTCGAACTGAGTTACATAGAATAGACTTTTTATAATATCAGATTGCCAGCTCTTGGATAATTACAAAAAATATGAGTGGATAAATTACCTGAAAGAAATGGTCTTTCAATATTCTGTAGAGAAGCTTTCCATTAAATGACCAGACGTTGAAGCCATTTTCCATCTCGTGAACAGAAGTTACTGCAGTAGCAACATACCTGCAGAGATGCCAAACAAGACAACCAACTCAGCCGCCACATCCACAGACCACAAAAAGAAGTAAATTCTGATCCAAAGAACAATTGTAACAAATAAAGATGCTCCCTAAATTACTACCTTCCAGTAGGATCCCATTCAATGTCGGTAGCCATGAAATGCTCAGCGGTTGCCATCGTCTCCAGCTCATCAACATTGAAAAATTCTAACTGTCCGTTCAGACCTTTCAGTCCAGCAAGTATGATGAAGCGTCCGGCAGGTGACCAGAAAAGAGAATTGGCCTGCTTGCCTTTCAGAGTCGTAAGTTTTGATACCCGTCCACTGTTTTGAGCGGTGCGCATCGTGTAAATGCTTACGTCTGGCCTGGGGTTGTCGCCATGAATAACTGCAAACCTGTGCCCCTTCGGCTCCCAGGCAAAGTCAATGATCTTGTCATTCTTATTTTCAAGCTCCAGCACTTCAATAGGGATATCCCGCTCTTTAATGCGAAAAAGCTCAAAACCTGTGTATGTGCTCTTCTTCGTCTTTGTATACCTGTCAACCTTGACAGCAAGATAATCCCCATTGCTTTGCCAGTACATTTGGCAATCACTAACGCTGAAAAGATTTTTCTGTCTCAACTCTACCTTGCTAGGGATTTGAACAAGACTCACCTAAGAAATGGAAAAAAAACTTGGCAATCAATTCAAATTATCCCTATTGAAAACATTTTGAAATAAAAGATTATAAAATAGTGACGACCCAAAGGCAGCAGCAGAGTGGAGAACTCACCCTAGCCGGTTGGTTCCCACCACCAAGCTCAGGAACGAAGAGTGAAATAATTGGTTCTGTAGGAGACCAGCAGAAATCCGTTACGTTTTCAACCTTCAAAGATCTTTTGTCAATTAGTGAGAAAGTCTCTGTTTCATAGACAGAGACCACATTTTTACCAATTCTGGCAAAGTACTTGTCATCTTTCCCGCCACCCCACCTGCAAAAAAGCAATAACATTTGTATCATCAGCAAGAAAAGAGCACTTTCGACAAACTTGACAACAGTAAAAAATAAAAATACGACAAAAAGACCAATCCCAAGCAAACAAAAATACCTAAAAATAGGCCAAGACACGCCTGCAACACCACCACCGGTTCCACCAATAGCAAAATCGTCTGGACTTCCTTTGAAATCTCTCATAACTTTTCCTGTTCTTGCATCAAAAATATTTATCACGATCCTCTGAAAGAATATATCATTAGTAATGATAGAAAGTCATCAACATCCTTCAATTGAAAATTGAAATAAATAATAGAAAATAGAAAATATTCACATTTGCATCACGAGGATTGCTGGGCTCATGACTGCAGTAAGTCACCAGATATTTCTCACCAGGAGAAAAATCAATTAACTTCACCTGCATTTAGTATATAAAACGCTTGAGCCTTTGGGATATAAAAAGTACCGTAAAAAAGTTTGAAGCCTATAACAATAACAGACCTGTTGATGAGCAAAGCGCATCAGACGGTTAAAGGTACCTGCTCCACCCCAAACTGCAGCACCTTGTCGGTGAATTGTCGCTAGGTAAGTCCCCAAGGGGGACCACTGCACAAAACTCTCAGTCCAGAACTGTAACATAAAAATATGGGGTTAACAAAATTTAAACTTAACGGCCCAGGAACAAGACACAGCAGAGAGATATTAATACCATGCACCAACATCAACGAATTAATCTAACCAGAAGATAGAAGTAACTTTAAATATAAAAACAAGGTCAAAACCCGACAGAGGCTAAAGATACTCACAGAACGCTTGTAAACAGGCTCGGGCTTCAAATGTCTAGCGTCATTCCAGAAGACCTCAGTGTCAGAACCCGAACGAATAACAAACTGATCACGTGCTTTGTCATCAGTAAGCCATTGCTGAAGATTTTCCTGAAATGTTCATAAGCTCGCATTATGCTTCCATGAGGGTAAACCATAACAAGTCAATATAATGTAGCATTAAGCATGGAACTTCTCAATTCATAGCACAACTTGATCCATAAAATTACATATCCACCCATTAGTTGCTTCCCCCATATCAATTCTACTGACCCATTGTCACCAAAGCTCCTTAGATAACCCTAGCATCGATCCATAAATTCCCCAAACCCATCTCTCAGAACAAATCTAAAATCTATTAAATAGATTTTTAACTAATACAAGGAATGCAACTTGAATTTAGAAGACTTCACAGAAAGCAGTGAAGATGAAAAATCAAGTAACTTTGCAGATAGTTTACCCCAGGAGTATATGGGCTAATTTCAGGAGGAGCCCACTCATCTGGAACTTTCATAAATCTGTGGAAGTCCTCAAACATGTTAACAGCAAAAATATGGGCTCTATCCAACTTGTACCCATCGGTCTTCTCTTTCGCAAGCTCGGCTTCCTACAATATGACTTAAAGGATCAGAACTACAGTATTATATTACACAAATGCATGGGAAGAACACTCGGACTTGAATACCATGAAGTTAACATATTCTTGGATGAAATACATGTCTAAAGGAAATCCAAAACATCACACTATCACTCCTCATATAATGTTAAAGCGTCCCTCAAAAAATATAGATACATACATACATATATATATATATATAAGGTTAAAGTAATAGCAACCAATTAATGTAATTTCTTTAAGGATGGACTATAAGGAGGTGTAGAACAATAATACAGTGGATGGACGATAAGGACCTAGAGTTAAATTACCAAGTAGAACTATAAAAATGAGGATTAAATATCAACCCCATCAAATGCCAGCTAGAACAAAGTGATATATATGGAAAATTATCATTATCTTAATCAAAAATAATACTATAGGATAATTCATTCTCCAATAATAGTATTCCACATGATTTTCAATATGATTAATATAAGTTCCATATTAAAGTTAGCAGGCACAGGGGTGTGTTAGAGATAAAGAGAAAGTACCTGTGGGGTACCATACTCGATAAAGCAATAACCTAAAGTTTTTTGTGTCGTAGGATCAACGGGCATCCATAAACCATCATCTTTTATAACTCCAACCTGACCAAAAATCTTACGAACAACACCTTGAAGTTTCTCGAACTTCTCCGAAGAAACAACCGGAAGATTGTCAACAACAATAACATTTCCGAATCCAGAATCAAACTCCAGACTCTCCTCTTGTAGAACCTCTTCATCATCACTACATAATTGTAAACAAATAAAAGAATAAGAGATTCTTGAGAATTAGATGCAAAATCGAAGGGTAAAAGTATATAGTTTTCACCTAATGATCCCAAAATCGTTGTCAGGAGGAAGACGAATGGAGTCGAAATCAACTTGAAAAAGATCTATCCCGAGCCGACCAGCCGTGTCCTCAATCTCTTTCATCAGCATAACGTCCGCCATGATGAACAAACTCCGCAGCACTTAGATCTTTCACTGAAAGATTTCAGAAAGTAATTTGGAGATTGAAGATGAGATCGAATTCGAGAGTCGAGAGAGTGAAGATCGGAGATGAGAGGCGCCGAGTTCAACGAATAAATTGAAGAAACCTAATGCTCTGAGAGGCGGGAGCTGCGAGAGGAATGTAACAAAACCTAAACCTAAAACACACATAAAATGGTTCGGTTCTCCGATAATTGAACCGAACCGGTTGGTTCGGCTCTCACATATTTTAATCCAATCCAGTCGAGAATTTAACCTGCCTTTTGGTTGGTGATCTCACGAAACATAAATTTGAAAATAAAGATTGGATGAAAAAAAGGTTGTTTTGAGTGTTTTAATTGTTCAAATGTTTGGTATATTTGTAATCTAGCGTAGTTAGAAACTAAATATATATATTATAAATTTTGTATAACTGTTATTTTACGATATTATATATTTTATAATATATTATATTTTACACTTTTTGGTTTTTAGTTTTTAGTTTTAACAAAAATGAAAAAAATTTATAACATGATATAATATATTTATCAAAATTTTTATCTTCCTTAATGCAATTCTACGTTTTAAAGTTTGAAATCAGGATCTAAAAACACTACAAACATAAAACTATTCTACGTTTTAAAGTTTGAAATCAGGATCTAAAAACACTACAAACATAAAACTGTTGTTTTTAGAACTTTCACTGTTTGGATCACATAATTCGAAAAACAGTTT